TCCAAACCATTCTATGATTCTGTGATTCCATCTTTAACAGAAATTTGGTGATTTGGGTTATGAGCATTAGTGTTGCTGTAACTGGCCTAATAATAAGCATTAATTTCACTAAATTCTAACTCTTTAATCCCCACATAATGGACATTTTCCTTTGGTTGCCCATTTGCGTGTGAAATACCAGGTTGACATGAGACAGTCACCTAATAGATAAGCATCTACCAGACTAATAAGTCCTGTTTTCAGCCGAGTTTAAGATCTAGGGCAAAACACCACTCTAACTACAAATACTTATGCTAGCTCATACACAAATAGTTTAAGTCTCTCTGGGTGGTGATATTTTGTGCCAGGTAAGGGACATCCACATACCGGGAACTCACATTCATGTGGTAACCAGCTGTAATGCACTGAAGTTTGGTTTCAATGTTCTTGAATGCTAGTCCTCCATTTTATAAGTACTGTGTACATTTATTCTCCTCCAAATACTCTTTACTCTTTCCATTTTTCAAATATTTCTTTTTTCTTCTTTCATTTAAACATAAATAGTTCAAATTAGTCTGTCTTATGAAGTCGCCCAGTTCAGGCTGTGTAAATAGTCTGTTTTGTTAGAACATACTTAGCATACTTGCAGAGGAGCAAAGAAGTAATTATTTTTTATTTTCTTCTATTGTTGCATGGGGAGTCAGTATATCTTCTCATTCCATTCGTTCCTCCATAACCAGTCTACCATGCTTCTGCAGTTTCCACTCTTGAATTTCTTCTGATGGTCTTCTAGTACCATCTCTGAAGCAACTTTTTGCCATCAGATATTCCCTGTCCTCCGGGGACGCTAGTTCCCCCAGTTTCTGACCTTGAAGTCCTTCTGTCTCTGAGTCTCTGTTAATTGCAGTCTTTTGTCTCCAACACAGCCTTCCCGGCTACCATCAAAACCAGCACATTATCTTACGCTAAGGTTCCTTCAATTATATGTACACTCCAAATCTTCTGCCATTTCCTATTTCCTTAAATTGAGCTTTTAAATTGAGCTTCTTCCTGGCCCCCCAAAAGACACAGCACTCTGCATAAGCTAGCAAGTGGCCAGTTACTCAGCACTGAATATGTGATTAATGATATTACAGCAGAAGATGAGTAATTTTAGCATTAGGTCTCAAAGAGACTCCTACAGAAGCTATTTCTCCTCATCCTCTAAATATCCTTTTGGAATAAGAGCGGTAAAACTATTATAATTTTTAAATCTATTTAATGTGTGCAAACTTAATTGCAAACACATCCCATTTTTCTTCAAGGACAACGTTATAGGAAGTTAATGCTACAAGGCTGGAACATTGCTGAACTTTAAATTAATCGTATCAATGCTGTTGCTCTTGTCAGTAAAATTTGACAGCTCACTGAAAAGTAAGCTCTGGGTCCTCCTATATGTCAGTTACTTCAATTTGGATAAGTCTTATATAGGAAGAGTGATCTATTTTAACATACAAAGAATAGAAAGCTTTTGACTGTACTTACTTTGTACCCTTGAAGGTGTCCTCGGACAGTTTTTAGTGGAACTGGGTCCCAGTGCACCTTTGCTAATGTGCTGTTGATAACATGAACCTGCACATTGCCTGGAGCAACCATCGGCACTGTGTGGAAAGGATTCAACAAGTACCTAGTTAGAGTGAGACACCACACGAACACTGCATTCAAGGAGCAGGTTAAATTGTCCCTGTTAAAAAGCTGACCTCAGGATTAATACTACAGAGTATCATGAAGCCGTATTATCTCCAAATTACTTCATTTTAACTAAAAAAATAACTACTATCCTCCTTATTCAGTATTTTAGTATTTTAAATATCCATTTATGTTACATATTTAGTTGCTTTTAATTAGTACAATTGAGTCAAACTATAAAACTTACAGTCTTCCCCTGAATGTCCAATCACCTCTGATGGCTCTGGTGCATATCCCAGGTCATTTAAAGCTTGTACTTTTATTTCATAGGGAACAAAAGTTGGTGTACCAGACACAATATATTTAGATACATTTGCAACTATAACAGATGTCCATTCATCATCAACATCTTTCTGACGCCAGCTGACTTTGTACTGAAGCCCTGGTCCATTAGACTGAAAACCTTTTAAAGACTGAAATGAAAATAGTAAATGAAATTGTTTTTAAAATATTCTGAAGCACCTGAAAAATCCAAAGTCACAAAGGAAATATACTGATTCTTCTTTAGAATTTTGCTGAAAATTTACCACTGCATTCTGTGACAGAGAAGCACTGCTGAAATTTTCAAGATATGCAATTTAGCTTTTACAGGAGGTGAGTTCAGTTGCTTTTAATTCATTAGTAAAAATCAAGTTGAATGGTGATTCTGGCTAATTCTCATGCAACCATACATTGTGATTTCTGTATACATATTTTGTTTTCAAATATTTCTTAAAAAGTGGAAGAGGGAAAAACAGACTTACATCAACTCCCTATAAACAGTGTTCCCTAGACAATGTTTTTTTGACTGGGATGGGAAATTGGTTTTACATGGCTCTCCTTGAGCTCCTGTCACCATGGTAAAGGGATGATATAGAAAACTTTTCCATAAAAGTTTTTTAGTGAAAGAGTGCACAATAATTCAGTTCATCAAAAATTTGAGGGTAGAATTAGGATTCACATCAGAATTCATTCTAAAAATAAGACTCTACTTGAGATAAATCACAATTTCCATATTTAAGTTCTCCTAAATTGGCAGCAAAACATCCTGTATTACCAAATTAATGGTTTATCTTGAGAAATCACTCAAGGAAAATATGGCAC